GATAATTTTATTGTAAAATATTTATTCAATTCTAACAAGAAAATTTTAATTCAGCCATTTTCCACTTGCAGGACATTCACACTCACAAGATGTATGATTGATCCCAGGAAGAAGGTAAAAATTACTTCAGCAGTACAAGTTTATATGGTTCTCTGTTTTGATTCAGGAGATTTGGTACTCAGTGGTGCTTCGATCATTGATAAGCCACTTCATCTTTGGGCCTACACTACCCTTCTCATAACATTTCAGCATTGAGTGCTGCAATTAATATGCAATGCCTCTGAAGTACTAACACATTTCTAGAAGAAAATATATCCAAACGTAATATTTTAACTATAATTTTTAGGCATGATAAACCATTCTCTCTACAACACAAGACACATGATGGTCCTGTTTCTCAAAAAAAAAAAAAAAAGATTTCTTACTGATTCCACTGCAAAGCTTGGAGCAATCTTTTCATTAATCTCATTTAGTTTGTCTGAGAACAGCTGTCTATCTTCTGTGGCCATAATGGATTCAACTGAGGTCCCCAGGACTCTCACGCCATATTCCTTGAGCACACCCCTCTTGAATAGTTCCACTCCTACAGAAAAACAAAATAAATCAGTTTTTAAAATATCAAACTCTTATGCCTTTTTTAACAGGTACCTGAACACAACATTTTTAAATCTTATTATTAACTCCAAAAAGCCACCAGACTCCACAACAGAACTGTACTTCGGGTAAAAAAAAACTTTGAAAGAAAATTCTGAAGACATTCTAGCAAAACGTTTTGCTGGTGCTACTATTATGTATATTATCACCTTCTCCAAGTGATTTTTATTATCTTTATTAATAAAAATCATATGATTACAGTGAGCCTTCAAATTTTAGTATATCTCCTTTTCTTCTAAGATCTATTCCTATAAAGAGATTTTCTTATTTAAATAATCCCAGTGTTATGGGTATCTATCTGGGTTAAAATTATCAAAATTGTTTGTGTTTCCACTAACTTGCCATTCCACTTTGGCTGTCTTTTATAGTTGACATACAAATTACATGACCAACTGCTTACCCCAATCAGCTAACAAGATTCTCATTCATAATCTAGTTCTAAAGCTTTGAAATATTTTAAAAAGGACAGAACGCTGGACTCAGCAGTTGCATGAAGGGATGGTAGAGACACTGATATATGTTGTTATGAAAATATATGTGAAAGTTATATGCTACAGGGCTGACACATGAGAACACAGAGCACTTAATCAATGTTAATTCTCATTTTTCATTCATAGTAGTTCTCAGGGTTTCACTGGTAACGGAGAAAAGCAGTTTCCTGGAATGGAGGAGGGGGACCCAAGAAACCTACTCAGCCACCCCCAAGCATTAAAGTGAAAGGTTTCTTTCTGTCCTCCAGCTGTTCTGTGAAATAAACTGGTAATACTCATCGTATGACGTTTTCTGGCTGTTTGCTAACAGCTTCCTTACACAGAGGAAAGCTTTTACGAACACACAGAGCACAATTGCTAAATGAATTCAAACAAAAAATACACATAAGCGCATGAACCAAAGCTCTGCAATTAAACTTTAAAAAAAAACAAAACTCACCACAGTTCAGAGCTGTCTGGCCACCCATGCCTAGAATTAACCCATCTGGCCGTTCCGCTTTGATGACTTCTGTACAAACTGAGGGGTGATGGGGAGAAAGTAGACAGTATCCGCTTGCTTTAAGCCCACCTCGTTGGTCTGCACCGATGCAATGTTTGGGTTCATCAGGACAGTCTTGACATTTTCTTCCTAAAAGAAAACAAAAGGATCTGGAATCTGAGTATATGATCTAAAGAAGAGAATAATCATATTCCAGCGAAGGGTATTATCAGGTAACAAAAATTTTAGGTTATTCTGCAGGCTGTACAGATCAGTAATAGGACTACTGAGTGGAAGTTAAAGGAAGACAAACATTTGGTGAAAGGAAGGAAGAAATTGCTTGAAAATAAAATCATCCCAAAAGAGGTGGCTGCCTCATGAGGTTCACCCTGAATCCCCTGCAACTGTAGGTATCAAGTGAAGCTGGAGATGTTTTCTATAGAATTTGACTAACGGTCCACAAATGCTACTGAACATTACAGCTCAACTGACCTTAAAAGAATAAAATATTCCAAAAATTCTTGAATGAGTAAAATATAAAATGGAAAAAGAGGCAACATCAAAGCTGATTCCTTTTCTAATGTTTGTTGAAGAACAACACTAAGTATACATTTAAAATGCATGATAATATGTTCCTTCTTGCTGGAAGCACTGAGAGCCTTCTGCTGGTTTCCATTTTTTTTTTTTTAGATTTTCATGCCTGCTGTAGTGCTTCAACAAAGAAAATTATACAACTGTTTATACATATTATATAAAAAGAAAATGACCATATGGCAAAAAAGAAAATAAAAATTTGTATGTGTGTGTATGTGGGTGAAGATATTCATAGCCCTGTCTCATTCCTGACATCTGGAGAGACCGCTAAAATAATTCTTCATGTAGGCTACTAAGGATAATAGCTTTATAAACCAGATAAGGGTGACACTTAGCAAAATAATTATTATGAAATATGGCCAGATGGTTCTTGTTATTTTACCTATTAGCATGTCAATTTTGAACTCTTCTAAAATGTCAACAAAATATTCAGATAAAAGTATAGAAATCATCCTTGAAAGCCCTACATATCCTTGGGGGAGGATCTGAATGAAAAATGAAATATATTTCATACTACTTTAAATTCAAATAGTGCCTTAAAACTTGTAATGTACCTTTTTGTTAATTTACTTGACTTTTATAGCAAGACTATGAAAGAAATTTTCATCCTACAGATGAAGAAATTGAGATTCAATAAGGTTAAGTGACTTGCCAAAGATCATAGAGCTGATGAGTGACAAAATTAAGACTCTCATCCAAGTCTTATGACTCAAGTCCTATGCCCATTCCTCAATATGAGTTCTAAGATCCTAAGGAATTGTTTAAAAAAGAGTATTATTAACATAATATTGGATACATACAGATAAGGAAATACATTTAAAATATGAGCTAGAATTTAAATAATTGAGTCCAAACTGAGAACATCATCACCAGAAGTTATAGGTCTTACTACTATAGAAAAATACCAACAGATAAATATATTTGCTAAGTATTTTCCTGAACGTGCTATATAATGAATATAGCTATTTTTGTGAACCAAATTATATAGGAAAAGGTCACATAAATGCATGTGATGAGTGTCTATTCACTTTAAAACTTAGACATAATTTCAAATTTAATAAATGTTACATCATTTTTTCTAATATAGTTCCAGCTATCATACATGTAAAATCTAAGCTTTTTAAAAATTTAGTTCATATCATATGGTATTTTTCTTTCTCTTTCTGGCTTGCATCACTTAGAATGACAATCTCCAGGTCCATCCATGTTGCTGCAAATGGCATTATTTTATTCTTTTTTACAGCTGAGTAGTATTCCATTGTATAAATATACCACAGCTTCTTTATCCAGTCATCTGCCAATGGACATACAGGTTGTTTCCATGTCTTGGCTATTGTATATAGTGTCATTATGAACAATTGGGGTGCTTGTATCTTTTCAAATGAGAGTTCCCTCCAGATATATGCTCAGGAGTGGGATTGCTGGGTCATATGGTAAGTCTATTTTCAGTTTTTTTGAGGAATCTCCATACTGTTTTCCATAATGGCTGCACCAACCTACATTCCCACCAACAGTGTAGGAGAGTTCCCTTTTCTCCACACCCTCTCTAGCATTTATTTTTTGTGGACTTTTTAATGATGGCCATTCTGACTGGTGTGAGGTGATACCTCATTTTAGTTTTGATTTGCATTTCTCTGATAATTAGTGATATTGAGCATTTTTTTTTCATGTGCCTATTCAACATTTGTATGTCTGCAATGGAGAATTGCTTGTTTAGAGATCATCATTCTAAGTGAAGTAAGCCAGAAAGAGAAAGAAAAATACCATTTGATATCACTCATATGTGGAATCTAAAAGAAAAGAGAAAAAGAGGACACCAATGAACTCATCTACAAAATAGAAACAGACTCACAGACACAGTAAACAATCTTATAGTTACCAGGGGAATGGAGGTGGGAAGGGATAAATTTGAGAGTTTGAGATTTGCAAATGTTAGCCATTATATATAAAAATAGTTTTTAAAAAAATTCTGTATAGCACAGGGAACTATATTCAATATCTTGTAATAACCATGAATGAAAAACAATATGAAAACGAATATATATGTATGTATATGCATGGCTGGGATGTTGTGTTGTACACCAGAATTTGACACATTGTAACTGACTGTACTTCAATAAAAAAATAAAATAAAGTAACAACAACAACAAAATAAAACCAAAAAAATTTAGTTCATAAATTCACCTCTGTTAGCCTCCTAATTAATCACAATACTATAATGAATAATTCTTATTCTTCAGATAAAATATGTAACCACATAATAGATGTAAAACACATAAAAAATACAAGCTATAAAAATGCTGTCTTTATAAAGCTACCAAACAAGAATGTATGCTAGTTAAATGTGTTCTAAACCCTGAACACACATAGATTGTGTTCTAACCAATATGAACCATTGGATATCCATAAATTATCTATCTAAAGATAAACTGAATCTTAATACAGTGAAATAAGGTACACTTTTTGAAAATGTACACAAAAAAACACGTGTACACGTGAGTGAACACCCATGAGTGTATGGAAAAGAGCATTAAAAATAAAAACAAATGGGAAGAAGAGTAAGGTAATCAGGGGCCGTGTCTGTTTTCAACAGACGTCTGTCAGGTGAAAATCTCTGGACATAGACTCGTGAATAAAACCAAGAAAAAAAAGCAACTTTTGGCCAACTATTTTCCGTGTCGGCTGTCCTAGTCTCCTGCTGCCTTCCCTGTGTTGCTCTCTCCTAGCCAGGTCTCTTTTTTTTTTTTTTCTTTTTTTCAGTGGGAGGGAGGAAGCCAGGTCTCTTGGTAAGATTGGCTTTACCGCACAAAGCCTGTGGCAAGGTCACAGAGTGCTCCCGTTGCCTTTGGATGGCCTGCTTAGCATCAAAATGGGGACAATCGTGGAAAACACGGAGACCAAAGAGAAGCCAAGTTAGCTCTTCAATAGAAATATCTTACACATACTGTGGAACTCTTCTAAAGATTTATTTTGCTATAAGGGTTGGGGAGATTTCAAGAGACTCTGAAGAAACAGGGAGGGTATTCTTCACAACTTAGGTATAAAATTGTCTATTCCACTTGAAAATCCAGCCATACCATCCTGATAGGTCATCCAGTCCAAGTCACAGATGAGGGAATTAAGTCCCCCAGTGACACATTATAACTTCTAAAGTTTGAACAGAAGACACTGTTGCCTTTGCTCCTCCAGCTGGAGCTTCCCCATTTCAACCAAAGAGATGCCCAAAGCCTCCTGGAGAACACGTGAAGCGCGTTAATGAACCACGGATGCCCCAATTCCCTCCTCTGCACAAAAGACGAGTACATTTTAAAAGTTCCCCGCCTCAATGAGTAACATCCGTAAGTGTAGATTTATATGTTTTCAGTATAAATTGGTGATATAGATAATTCTGGAGACCAATCTAACCTTCTGAATTTGCCGGTGTGCACATCTGAGAAAGTTAAAAATCTTGTCTGTGATCAAACTTCCTTTAATATAATAAGACATGTAAGGAAGAGTGAAGGAAATTAATTATAGTGACTTTGAAAAGAGATAGTATCATAAATCTAAATTATAAAATACTAATTAGACTCATTAAAGGGAGTATATTAATTCCAACAAAGATCATATTCTCTCACCTTCATGGCTTTTACAGCTTGCGATCCCGAATAATCAAATTCACCTGCCTGACCAATGGACAGACCTCCCGACCCTAGGATAAGGACTTTGGAAACCTGTACGGAATTAAAAACAAAATGGCATTGCTTTTATTATTAATATGGGGAAATCAGGCATTTTTAAGTATGGGGAAGATACACTATATTGTCTGAGTTTATGTGGTGATTTAAAATAGAATGTTTTGAAATATATATAATATCTGAGTAAAAAGATCAACAATTTAAACAGCTCTAATTTCAAAAAGCAATTTCCAAAGATCATAAAGTTTTTTCCACTTAAGTAAAAAAATTTTGAAATAGGCCTACATTTTATTTAAACATATATAAATATCTAAAAATAACTACATAAATATATATGGAAATGTATATCTATATGTTCATATATAATAAATACAACCTATAGGTATAATTTTTTAGATAAAAGTCTTCTTAAAATTTAATTGACTAAATGTATTACTATTCCATGAGTTTCCTCTGGACAAAAGATGGGCATAAATATAAACAAGACAGTGGGCCTTCCCTAGTCAATGAAGAGAAAACACAGGAGACAAGGGGACACAGAGACACTTTCATATTTCTATTTCACCGTTACTTTGCAATTCAGTCCAAAAATATTTACAGAAAATACATTAAAAAGAAGATCATGTTCTGGCAACATACTGAAATCCTTATGAATCGTATATATGATTTTAGGCGAATAATAACACTACTTATTTTTTTAACCACAACCACAAAGCCCTTCAGAGGAAAAAGATATTTTTGGTCACTGCAAGAGACAAGGACGTGGGAAACTTGGTTTGTATTTATTGAGTGCTTACTATATGCAATGCAATGTAGAATCCCAAATTATACTGTTTCCCTGACCATTTAAGAAAAGAAAAGCATCTGAAAAACATGAGTTGTATTTTGAGAAACACATTACACAGTACATAGCTTCTTTAACTAGCAAGAATCCACGGTTTGATTTCACCCTGAGTGGCTGGATTACCTCCAACCACTTAATTTCAGGAAAGGAGGCTGTCACAGAAATCCTTAAAAAGAACCACCTAACTCAACTCTCATTTCATGTAAACATATAAATCAATTATTTTTGTTCATAAAAAGAAGATATACATGTGTGTATGCATATATATATATAAACTTGAAAATACACACACATCCTTCTAAATTTTACATAACAAATGGTGTGGGTGTGCCTTAACTATTAAGGAAATAGGTAGAAGTTTCTTCATATTAACATACATATATAAACAAATAAAGATTCAAGTCTTATTCTATATTAATCCTTATCTATCTGCTCTTTAGAGGTAAAATATTATTCCATTTATGATGTTGAATAATAAATCTTCTAGCTGAAACAAAAAATTCTATCATCTATAATGACTCTGTAGTCGAACTGTTATCTCAAGCATACACAGGGCTATGACATATTGAGTAATGGAAAGTATATCAAACTTGAAACTAAATTAAACCTTACTCTTCATTAAATTGTTTGTATTAAAAACATTCTAGAAGTGAACTTGAAAAATATGATTTCAAATCAAAACATGAGCATTCCAATAAACATCCAATGCATCATCAAGAACAGAACAAATAATTAGATGCAAAGTGATGGGTGATTGAAGTATTACTGATCATTTTTCATAGATATCAAAAAGCTATATATCATTCACTTAAAAAAGAAGTCACCACATGATAGAGAAAAATCCAAAATACATAAACCGAAAAGAAGCGTAAATACACTGACCTCAACTCGAGATGCTACTAAGGCTGGCTTTGGTAGAACCGATGTAATGGTCATCCCTTTCCCCTTCTTCATCAGTGAGAAAAAGGAATCAAACAGGTACTAGAAAAAATAAAACCAACTAGTTAGAAGTTTCAAAACTCATAAAATTGTCAGATAAAATACGGTGTACCCAGTTACATCTGAACTTTAGACAAGCAACAAATGATTTTTTAGGAATTATTTTTGTGCAATACTTGTTTTTTGCTTTTTTTGCCAAAGCTGGCAAAACTAACTAAATATTTACTGTAAGAATTAGATCAGAGGGAGAGCACAGCTCAGTAACAGAGTGCGTGCTCAGCATGCACAAGGTCCTGGGTTCAATCCACCAAAAAAAAGTTTAAAAAATTAGATCAAGTAAACACTTCTAACTGCTCATGTCAAATCCTATCAAAAGAAATTTTTCAGCAATGAACATTTTAGATAATGCCTATTAAGAATGTCATTTTCAGCCTAAGTATGAATCATTTTCTTCTTCTAAATAAAATTCTAGGTATGCAAAAAAAAGAAACTATATGACATGCTCCCTAAAGTTAGAAATAATTGTAATTTTAAATTTTCTATCAAGTCTAAAAATGTCTCTAAACATTGTATCACACGTAAAGATATCTCTAAAGATTATTTTTAAACTTTATCAATGATTTTACTTCTGCTGTTGCACTAGACACGAAAAATTTCAACAAAGATATTCATTTTGCAACTATCTGGCAAGACCAAAAAAAAAAAAATTAAATGATACTGGATATCACATATCTTAATTTCAATGTTCCTAGTCTGAAGTAGTAATATAGGCAAATAACTTAAATTTTAAATTAAAAAAGAATTTAGCGTGTTTTAGGTGGTAGATGTACGTTAACTAAATTTTATTTTTGAGTTTCATCATGGGTGGGTAATGTTCTGAGTTTGACTGTTAAGAACCATTATTTCCAAATAATATTAAAACAAGAACAAAATACAAGTATATGAAAAGGCAACTCAGGGATTGAAGAAGCAGAGTTTGCAGAGGGAAGATTCTTACTCTCCTCATTTTACCTCAGTGTCTTTTCTGAGAGTGTCTGCTGACAAGGAAGAATTGTCAGCATCACCCCTGGAGGCCCTAGGGTGTGGAAGAGGAAGCGTCATTCTAGACTTCCCAGACTATTCTGAGTGTCACTGTGAACTCTTGTTTGGAAAATGCTCTTGAACAGTCAACCAAAGGTTCACATAAAAGTGAAAATTTTTCAATTATAAACTAAACTCCTCTAAGCATTCCTTATGGTTCTTTCCTTAAGCCATCTGACTCATCTGTATGTGCCTGCATGCTCTCCTGCTTCCCGCACACCTTACCCTTCCTCCCGCTCCTCCTGCTGTTTATTCTCCCTTCGTGGCTACACAACCAGTTGCCATGGGGATTTTTGTGAAGTCACAGATGGGAGATTAAAATTTCATTTCAGTTATGAGAACAAGAGAGCAAGAGGGAATTCATTTGCATAGTACAACAATTGTAAATTTCAGAACTAAATATATTAGAGTGATCATCATTTAAATAAAAATAGCATTGCATTGGTTTCTTAAGGGCTTTCCTACTTTAAATTTTTTTTTTAAATAGAAATTTCCTCCATGATATTCATGGGACGTTTTCATGCAATACGGGTGTTATCAAAGCACTCTAAAAATATTCTGTACCAGGACCATCTAGGTGATTATTTTGGTTTACCAACTTTCACATAAGTACATTTCTGATTTAAGAAAAACATTTTTTTAATATACAATAGGCCTCATTTTTCTTACATACCTCAGTGTCTGTTGGCCCCGGACTGACCTCTGGGTGGAACTGCACACCAAAGAAGGGTTTGCTCTCATGCATAATCCCCTAAAGGAATAAGAAATGGGAAGAAATTCCTCCTGTAACAGTGAATGCCAACCAGGGTGATGTTTGATTCAGTAGGTAATAAAGTTCAAATTTCAAAAATTAAGCTAAATGTCTAAGAATATTCTAAAAACAAACAATGCTAATAAAAATAAGCCAGTGAAGACAACCAATGCTCCCTTATTAAAAACACCTGATTTGGTTGCAGCCATTGAGGCTCCTCTAGGCTCTGTTCAGAATAACCCAAATCCTCTTCTTTTCTCCACCTCCTAAATTACTTCTCCAAGGGTCTTCTCAAAGGCAACTTCAGTGCCAAGTGAGTCCCAGAGACCCGCACAGACTGGGCCAAAGCAGACTCCACCAATGGCCCGTTATAATAAATATGTGTAAGACAGCCATTGATTAACCACTGAAAGAGAGGATCTTAACAGATGAGAGAATAAGACAGAGAGAAAAGACTTTTTTAAAAGCAGAGGGCTCTGGGAAATCATCTATAACACGAATTCTTCCACATACACACCCCAGAAAAGCCAGCATAAACAAGAGAAAGGTTAAAAGCCCTGCATTTCTCATCACCGACTCAACAGGTTTATTGAGAGCACTTACCTCATTTGTTTGATCATTGACATTCACAAAAAGTGGTTTCCAGCCAGCAGGAAGGGTGCTGTCCAGGGCATAGCCATGATTCTGAGCGGTAATGAAAGCCTGTCTGTTTGTGATATTCAAAACAGGCTGATTCTGCCCTCTGGAGAGAAAAGGTGAAAAGGAGTAGGGAAAAGGAAAAGTGAAGAGAGGAATATAAATGCATTAGTTGTAAAATAGTGAACAAAAAATGCCTTCTAAATTCAGAAGTTTGAAATGCTTAGTGAAAATTGCTCTGTGAGAAAAGGCATAGATTAGTAATCCCAATAATTTTAGCAACAAAAATCGCTTCAGGAGGCTTTGTTGTGTGTTAACTATCAGATCTATTAAACTTCTATAATCGGTTTTAGAAAAGGGGAATTGCACTCGTGACATAAACTTAAGATTTGCTCACCAGCTTAACAGAGACAAACATAAGTGACTTATTTTAAGGGAGTTATAGTAATATTAAAGCCAAAGGAGCGTTCTTGGGGGATAATAAAAAGAAAACTACTCAGTCCTGAATCATTTTGAATTATACTTTATGTGGAGGGTGAGCTCAAGAGAAAGTTCCATGTTGAATAAATTAACACCACTTGGGGCAAGGAAGTAAAACCAAGAGGATCTAAAGATTTCTCGGTTCATAAGTCACACTAGAGTTTTACAATGTTCTCAGTGCTTTGAAATCAAGCTTAAAAATCAGAACAATTTCCCTTGGAATATCATTTGACTGAGTATTTTAACCTCAATTTATGCCAAGGAAAGGAAAATAACTTTAAACTATGGCAAAGTTATCGTTGGAGAAGGCTGCCTTTCAAAAATGTAACAAAAGTGGTATCAGGTAGTCCGACAACTATGAACCATGTAATAGTGTGGTTGTCTATTTTTTTCTGAAGAAAATGACATGTAAGTTCTCTAAGTCTTTTCGGTTTAGTTACTAACAATATTTCAGAGACAGCTGGACATGTAAACAGAAGCATAAATACTTTACCTGTTGGCCATGGACATCTTGTAGGCATTGGCACCAGCGGCCAATCCTGTTATTAAATTTCCTGTGCTGATCCCAAACAATGGCTCCTTGCGATCACCCTCCAAAACCTAAATCAGGGAGAATATTTGTTAATCCGTAAGAACAATTTCAAAAAATGCTACATCTGAAGGAATAAAATGAAGCATCGTTTTTTCTCCCTTAATTTAACAAGTTGAAGAGAATGGTAATCGAATAAAAAGTTACACTATAAATAAGGACATGATTGACAATTTGTAGCATTACAATTCAATGAAATGTACTTAACATTCAGACTAACGAAATTTAATTTAATATTTCTTTAAAATCTTGAAGATCTTATAGGTCCCAAGGTCAATGGTGAGGAACACAAGTTGTCATTTTACGATTGTAGAGACAACACATTTGGAGATCAGACTCCAGCACTCTTAACTCGAGGACAGAATCCCAGTGACTTTGCCTTTTCTTCTTGGGGTACCCTCCCTTCCATGGCTTCCCCTATATGCCATCTGTGTTGACATTGCCTCAGAGGTCACAAATAGGAGTATTAAAAAATTGAATAAATAAAATATATTACAGTCTTTTCAGCCCTGAAGAGCAGACTCCTTCCACTTCATACACAAGATACACACCACCCCAGGTTCACTGCACCTTTTTGACATTCTGAATTAGTGGTTGTGCAAGAGCTGGGTTGCCAGGTCCTCCAGCAATTAAAAGCCCATCATATTCCATCTTGGTGAAATCATGATTCCAGGGAACTAAATGCACTTCGGCTCCTCGCTGGAAAAGAAACACAGGAATGGTCAATTTAATAATACTTTTCTTTGCCATGGTGGTAGACCTTCTCTTGGCTAACCCACTCCTTAAAGGGAAGGGAAACCTAGTGCATGATTCAAATAAATAACACTGAGCAAGAAATTCTTTGGTGACTCATGGTATTTTGTGTGATGGAAATGGAGCCTAAAATAGAAAACGAAGAAAAAACACTATTAAAATTTTGATTCTGAAAAAATAGATGATGCACTTTCTCACACTTTCCTGCACTTTAGGAGATTACAGCGCATAAAGGCTTTGACTGGGCACACAGGAATATAGGTATCTTCACTAGCTGGGGGAGCAGGAGTTGCAAAAAATAAGATAAATCTGGAATTTGACACAACGTTGTAAAATGGCTATTACTCAATAAAAAAAATGTTTAAAAAAAGGATAAGTCCATTTTCTGCAAAATTTAAGTTGATCTACCTCTCACTTTTTTTAATTCTTTTTTGTTTGACTAAATTTTAAGCAGACTTCTTTCCTAGGGTTTTCTTATATTAAATACAATATGTATATTCCAATAGAAAAATTAGAACTTTTCTATTCAAAAGTGGACAGGAAGATGTCTTTGATTGTTTTCCCAGAAGCATTTCCTGAGATAAGAATTTGAGGGAAAGAAGTTTCTTTGGAAGCATTTCCAAGAAATACTGATAGAAAGCAACACAGTGAAAGACCCTAATAAGGTATGTATTATCAGGGCAGTTACCACTGGGAGCAAACAGAGCTTCAGCCCACTGGGAGCTCTGAGAGCCAGTGCAGAAAATCCACCGGAAGACAGCCTAGCCACGGGGCAAAGGAGCTGGGGAATGCATACACTGACTCCAGTCATTGGCTGGGGCTGCTCCAGGGATTATTAATTCTGTGGTGCTTCCTGCCTGCCAGCAGCCTCCAACCTACCAGAGAGCCCTCAGGCAGTGACATGCAGACATTTGCAGTAGTATCTATCTACTCTTAGTGTCCATGCACATTTTTGTTAATAAAATTGACCAGCATCTGAAATCATGATTTGGGGTATTGCTAAGATTCTCTAAAAAAAGATGAATTGAAGAATTCCCTTATACCTACACTTATTTGGTGTTATGCAAACATATCCAGAAGGTTGGTGTATGTGTAAAAGAGATAGAAAGACAGAGACAGAGACAGAGAGAAAGACAGAGGAGAAGGAGAAATCTCAACAAAACAATATTTAAGAAAACATTGGTTACATTCTCCTCAAGGATTGTTAAGGTTAAATTTTAATTGGTTCTCTAAATTGGTTAATATAAAACCATGTGAAAGTTTAATTGGTTCTCTAATTGGTTAATATAAAACCATGTGAAAGTTTGTACTGATCAGGGCACAACTCCTACAAACATGTGGTACATCATAAATGTAGCCCAAAAGGAGGAGCTCTCTTACAGACTAGCTATTCTGTGATCTCTAAACCCAAAGAAACTGAGTGTGTCATGTCTCAGAATATCAGCCAATAAGTGAAAAAAACAGCTACTGTTTTCTTCTGTGCTTCTGTGGCCTTTGGTTTTTTTTTTTAAACAGTAATCTACATCTCTAATTTAAACAGGGCTAAATGTGTTATCTCATTGATCAGAGGTAATAAGAAGAGAGTAAATCCCCGACATTCTGAGAGAATACACAAGCTTTCTCTGAAACAGACAGAGGAAATCAGATGAACACTAATGATCAATACTACAAACCCTCATCCCTGAGATGGAACAAATCACTTACCTTTACTAGTAGGCGGATTACATTGTTTTTTATCCCACAGTCTACAGCCACGACTTTCGTGGGATTTCCTTTGCCGTACACCTTGACATCCTGCCATTTTAAAAACCAGAGAGTAAGAGAGAAGTTCCAGCTATAAGAAACACACCAATATCATAAACACAACTAAGGATGCTTGGCTCTGGGTAACAGATTGACTGCTAACTCCTAGGAAGTGACTGGCAGTTAACACTCAATTTGGGAAGAAAGGCACAGCAAATGCCACAAACTGTATCCTTTTTATGAGAAAAGAGTATTTTGCTGTTTTATATAAAATGTTGATTACAGCAATAACAATTATCCCTAAGATATTGGTTGCTTCCATAATTAACAACCATCTTTCCCATGTTTTGCCTCATTAACAACCAGTAGCAATGGAGTTTTTAAGTATTACTGCCTGACTCAGCACTGGCATATGTAGTAATAGATACATCATGCTTTAAACATCACTTGATCCTCAACTTGCAGTAAAGTTTGGATGGGGTAACGCTATTGTGCATCAGGCTTAGGCAGTGGGGCTAGTGGGTAAAATCAGTCTGAGTCAGAGGGATAGCTAAGCTAGTGTAGACACCGGTCCCTCTAGGTTACTATGCAATCATTTGCATTTAAATGGTAGACTTCATAAAAGGATCCCAGAGCATATCATAATCATTACCTACGTTTTTAAGCACTGCTTGGAGTCAGATCCATTTTCACAGGCATTTACCCAAGAAGCAGTTCCCCAAACTCATAAAAACAGAAGTAACAGAAAGAGAGAGAGAGAAAGCCTAGAGGGCTGGGTGCCCACACTGGTTCCAGCTTCGAGAGTTAGCTAGCACATTCAAAATTTAGGACGCTTTCAAAATTTGTTAAAGGTTTTAGATGAAATTTGCAATCTGGTCTCTACACGAACACATCATATACTCTCCATATAGAATGACTGAAGTAAGCAAGGCCCCACAGAAAGTTGAATATATGGGTTTACTGGGACTCTCCAAAAGAAGAACATATTATGCAGTGTTTTTCAGACTTATTTGACTGCAGAATTTTTTCAAGGTGACTTTCTCCAGGCCAATGTTCCTCACATTCAGAACATGCTAGACTAGATTCTGAAGGTAGTTCTAAACTCTAAAATTCTATAAAAATGGCCCTCTGTCATGCTGTGTCCCAAACCAAATCACTTCATGGGGAAATGCGGTGGAAACCTCTTGCCCCTACTTGTCCAAACTGCCTTGCTGTCTCTTCTCCTGCTGCTACTGCACAGCCTGCGCTTTCAGGAATTTTCTAATTGGTGGCAATAACCTTCTAGTCACCTGCTCTTTCAGCCAGTTTACTTTGTTCCAAAATGACGCTGAATAGGTTCCCAGGGGTCTCTAGTTCCGTTGATTTATTTGGCCAATGATACTCAGCCCTCTAACTCCAGCCTCGTCCATCACCCCTCATCTTCAGCCAAATGTGAGAACCTGGATGTATGAACCCTCTGGTCAGACACACCAAACTATGCCTAACCCTTCAAACCCACCATAGTGTTTCACACCTCTGTGCCTTTCAACACACTCCACTTCTTCTGCCCGAAACGAAGTTCTTCTCAGTCTCCATCTGCCTGCTTGTTCTTTATATCTCAGAACAAGCCCAATTCCTCTGCAGAGCCTTCCCTGATCCGTCTGTCTCATCTGACGTTTCCCCACGTCTGCCCTTGTGGCACCTCCTGCATGTTCCAGGATAGCATTGATCTCGGTATTCTATCCTCGGTGATTACTTGTTTGCCTACCCCCACCAAACTCTGTGGTCCTGAAGGACAGGGACTGCAGCCCAAGACACTCACAACCATGTTAATAGAGATTCAATCAAAACCAACAGACATCTTTCTGAGTTGTATTCTATAGCTTCTTATAAATATACACTAAACAGATCTCACTTTGGGGTGATACAGTCTTAGGAACACTAATTTTTGGACTGGGCTATAATATATTAAATCTTCAGTGTTTTCAGGAATGCTTATAACTCTGCACAAGTAGGAGCCCCAGGCTCTGAGTACTGGGTCTGATTCCTACAGAGCGCCCCTGGCTCTCCAGCAGACCATCAGCTCTGACTCCTGATTGTCACCGTGCCTGTCTCTGGCAATTCAACAGCCCTCTGTCTGACATTTTTAAAGCTTTGACCTGGGAAACCACAAAAGGAAAAAAGAAAAGTTAAACGAATAGTAAACAGTCTCTAAATCAGCCCCTGAAAGTTTCCCTGTAGGTAAAAGTTACTAACTTTAAAATGCACTGATTTTGTGATACATCCACTTTAGCTGCTATGGGACCCCTTTTTTCCCCCTCAATTCTGGTACTTCTGGAAGATGACCTCTGCCTAAATGAAGATCCTGATATTACAAAAAAGGAAGGTCTAAAGGAAATGAAATAAAACTACACAATACTAAGGAAAATCTCTCACCTTGGTTGAAACCTCAGCAATCAAATTCTGCTTATTTGGATCCACAAAATCCACAGACTGACCTTCAAATTCAATCTTCCCGAGCATGGTACCCTATCAATTAAAAAATTAGACAGTTAACAGGGAGCAACAAAGAAGGTGCTGACAGGATAAATTCATAGGGGCTTAACAGCTGCTCCAGTATTCAGATGTCTTTATAACTACTTATAGCCATCAGCAAAAGAGCTTCATCTTCTCAGCTTGGAAAGATGAAGTAGTTTGCATGGTACATTTTGGGAAACTCTGGGAAGGATAATTAGTTCTTTTAGGGCTAAGATAGTCACCTGAGGTAAGCAAAGTCAAAAGGAAACAGAATTCAGGTTCCGTGTAGGTGCAAATCAGAGTATTTAGGGTACTTATGACCTAAAGATATTTCATGGGAGATGTGGACAAAACAATCTATTGAGAAAAGAGGAAATCGAAAAATTGTAGAAAATTAGGGGAAAAAAATGGAAATTGACTAAAGAGTAAAATTAATTCGCAAAAAAATGTGAAATGCTGTATAAGTTATAAACTTAGAGAAGTGGCAATGAAAATATTCACTGCCTTAGACATATTAATGTCCAGATGTACCTAAGGCCCTGAACTTTAAAGAATGTTAACCTGTGACGTTTTCACAAATTAACCTTGCTAGTTTGAACATGGCAAATGTTTTCTTATTATTATTAGCTGTGCCTTGAGATTTACTCGTTCGTGAATAAGTCTAGTAAGTTTTGATCTAATTAGAAAAATGGTATATTATATTTACTAATCAAGACGTTATGGGGGGGAGTCAAGATAACTTACTGATTTGCTTTTATCCAAGGAAATTGTTGCACTGAAGGAAACAGAAGAAAGCCTTTATTTCCCTGTGAAACTTATTCCTGAGGGGAAGAAGTAACTTGGAAGTGAGTGAGTGTCAGTACATCATTCAGATGGTTATTTCAGTGTGATTATTAAAAGCAGAGGACTAACTCACACTCTGGGAAAAATACTAAAAAACATTTTTCACTTCTACACCGGATTATTAAGTTTCATGATGGTCTCCACTTACTTTTCTAATCCAAATCACGGAATTCCTTGATATTTATGGATCCCTAATTTTGACATTCGGCTTTCTGTTCTCATTACCTTTTTCTTAAAGCACGCTGAATGAATAACAGCCTTACTTTTCAACCTAAGACTAATAGAACTGTAAGCCACAACATACATTTTTAGTATGAACCCACATCACTCACAATCAAATAAATTAGGCAAAATGACTATTTTGTCTGTGCTGATCTATTCAGCCAAAATTTGAAAACCTAACTGGCCTCTGATAAGAGCAGTGTTAACCTCAAGCTAACATATCACATGAAGAATACAACAGGTCTTGTAAAATGTTTTCCCAAATTACTAGGCCTTGACTACATATTCTATTCAACCTGCCAATTCTGCAGCTTGAATTTCCTGATTTCATTCCCCTCTCATTCCGGAAGCCTCATCATTGTTTACTCCTCCCACAACATCACTGGGCTAAGAAAACCCAAAACTCTACTTGGGACATGTAATCTCACTAGTATCTATTCTCAGGAAAATCATGGAGGAGGGAATAAAGTCAGAGGGAGAGTGCAAGGACTGGACATTCTCTCTGCCCTCCTTCTGGCCATGGCTATGTGGCCATGCTCTTATTTTCAAAGCTGTTCTTTCTTTCCATTTGCAGAGATTCTGTGTCAATACATATTCCAACAAGGAATCTACAGCAGATTTTCTTGAAACATCTATTTCACTTTGAAATTGTATCTTTTTTAAAGAAAATACATATAATTCAATGAGAAAACTTTAGTGGCATTTAGGAAATTTAGTTAACATTAGTAAGGTACAATTTCTTTCTGGCCTGGGATGTGAAGGTTTCACATAAGAAAAATAGTGTCCACCTCTTATAACAAGAAGAAGTGAGCAGGTGGTGATGAGATAGTCTCAGAGGGAGGATCAAATGTTTCAGCAATCAGATAAGAAAGCAAAAGATAATCTTACCTTTTATCATCTTGGTCATTGGAACAATCTCCAGAAAGACTACAAAACTGAGACAACACAAGCAGGGTATGCAGGTCTCACCAGGCACACCCATGAACTATAACGCACTAATTCCACGAATAAACCCTCCGAGAGGACAAAACAGGTAACAGCACCAGTGCTGTGTACTTCCTGGTCTTCATTTTTCAGCAGGTAGGCATTCAATTCAGGCAAAACTGTTACACACCTAGTTACCTCCTCCTCTTGTTTCACTAGCCTCGTCACATAAGCTGAATTACAAAGGCCTTGATTTGTCACTTGGGATAGTGAATACATAGTGGGCACTCTAGTAAGTATTCAGTCTTGAAAATTATACCAGAAATAGTAAAACAGGATGACAGAGACCCAAATGGCAGAAAATGGCCAGATTTGTTCTTTTACACACCAATGGATTCCTCGCTCACTGAGAAAAATACACACATAAACATACATACATATATATATATATACATGTATGTGTGTGTGTCTCTTTATACACATATACACATACGTATGTAAAGAGACATAGATTTGGCTGAAGATGATGATGGTCTTACCTTATCCCGAATTATTTTGGTCAGCATTCTTGTATCCACTCCATAAATTGCAGGGACCTATAAGAAAAGTAAAATTGTCGTGACAGTAAAATTGGAGGAAATTAGATCCAGCTTAGTGTTTTGAAGATGCCGACTTGACATCATCTATCTTCCTGAGTAGTAAATAATTTCCCTACTCCTTCTTTTCTCTGATCCAGGGCGACCATGTGGCGAGAACAAGGTAAACTGCTGTTCTGGTTGGGCACAGGACTCAATCTCCATTCTTCAGAATTCTTCAGAATGAAAAATGAGAGATTCTGAACATCAATCTTCCACTACCGTTTTGTTGCTTTTAATCCAGGATGTTAAATAAGTAATATAATTTTATATATACATATATGTTTTGAAATAATGGGATTTGTGAACTTCATAAGCAAAGATAAGTAAATAATATATGAATCCATGCTGTGAACCAAATGTTCCTGGCACATAATAGGCTATTGGCACATCTTTCCTGAAGGTGCTTGTTACATAGTCAGGCTGTATTGAATTTTGCCCAATCTGTTAGTAAGTCAGGCAACACCACCATTTGTTTTAGTTTCTTTGACTAGGCTGGATAGAGATAGATGTGGTACAGCTGGTCCCCCTCTTATCTCCAGTTTTGGTTTCTGTGGTTTCATTTACCTGCGATCAACAACAGTCTAAAAATATTAAGTGGAAAATTCTAGAAATAAAAGAATTCGTAAGTTTTAAGTTGTGCGCCATTCTGAATAGTGTGATGAAATCTCCCGCCATCCTGCTCTGTCCCACCCAGGATGTGAATCACTCCTTTGTCCAGTGTATCTCGCCCGTTAGTTACTTAGTGGCCATGTGAATTATCAGGTCAACTGTGGCAGTACCATGTGTTTTTGTTCAGGAAACCCTTATTTCAACTGAACAGTGGCTCCAAAGCACAAGAGTAGTGATGCAGGAATAGGTGCCTGATTTACAAGTTAGGCTATATCATAGGTATGTACATATAGGAAAAACATAGTATAGGCAGCGTTTAGTACTACCCACAGTTTCTGGCACCCACTCAGGGTCTCAGAACCCATCCCTCATGGATAAAAGGGGAAGAGCAATAACTTAAGAATCAGAAGGCAGGTTCTAATTTCTTTGCTTCCACCAGCTATCTGAGTGATGTTTGAGCAAGCTGCTTTCCCTCACCTGTGCATAGAAGGAGGCAAGCTGGCTATTATCTTAGACGCTCTTCTACTCTGCATGTCTCTGATCAGGGAAGAAGATTCAAAGCACATTCTGAAAACAAACTAACAAACCACGGCTTAAGCTTATACTTAAACTTTTAGTTCTGACACAGAGGGACCGTAATATCAGATGCCTAAATAACACAAAAGAAATATTAAAGGGAGGAAGGAGGAGCTTCCTGAATGACAATTACAAAGAGGTAAATTCAGGTAATAATTGTGAAGAAACTAGCAAAGGCCTAGGAGATAATATAGATACCTTCTCTCTTTTAAAATTTAGCAAGAATAAGACCCAGGAAAGCAAGATCAAAACTTTCTGATTTGTCAGAAAGAAGCAACATTTAGCCCCAGTTGGCTTACTGGAGAGGAAGAGCTTTCCCAGAATAATCCTCTGCCAGTTACAAGCCCAGCAGCAATTGAACATAATGCAGCTACAGTTACACTGGAAATGATGCTTAGTGTATCGGGTCCATTAACTTCAAGTATGTCTGACATTCAAACGAGGAGGACTCTCTTATCCGATTCGAAAATAGCACTCAAAGTAAGGAAGACATAAGATAAGATTAGTAGCTTATTTTTTTCATTTATTTCTTCAAACGAGATGATGTCTAATTACATGTCATAGAGTCATAACCTTTAAGCCCAAAGAGACTTGATGGCAATCTGCTTACATCCAATAAGAATTCAAACGAAGAAAGTATGGTATGATTGCATGACCTGAGCAAGGTCACACAAGGTGGAGCTGGTACTAGAACCCATGATGCAAGTTACATATCTAGATCCTGGTTAAAGGTGGGGGGGGAGTTAAGTTGCTCCAGAGAATACAAAATTCTAAATTTTTTTCTAACCCCTTTCCTGAAAGAGAAATGCTACAAAGCATGTATGAGTGCCACCTAGTGGATACGATGAAAATATACCGTCTTTGGAGTTAAAATGTTTCCCACCCCTGAGTAACAGAAGGAGTCGCTCTCTCAAATAAAAGGATCCCAAACTGCCACATCTGTTTGGCCCTTTTCAATGACATACACCTTCCCAACTTTCCACAAACCTCACCAATTGTCCTTAAGTGATGCTGGATGTCCTATCATATTTCTCACCTTTTCTTCCTGCAGCCATTGCCCTAGACTCTTGGTAGCCAGCCAGTGGTGATAGTCATTACTATAGTTCAGCACCAGCAAACCTGCAACCTAGAAAGACAGGCGATCATTTTTAAAGGGTGATCACAAAATATTATCCAATTCTTCTGACTTGTCTTAAGGGTCAGTTCACTTAAGCTTTATTATATCCACTGATACAAGGCTTAAAATTTTGAAGACTTGAAGAAAAAAACATGGTCAACAATTTTCTCTTAAAATATAAAATTGTTACCTTAATTATCATGTGGAAGGCAGTCTTACCTGGTTTGCCAAACTAGGTCTCACCTCTCAGCACCCTGTATTTTTCCCTCATGGCATTATCAATAATCTAATTAATAATTGCTTGCTTAATGCACATGGAGAATGAAATAATTTTTTAAATTTACATTTACATAAGGGAGACTGAATTTTGGGGGGAAATTGTGAGATGCAGATCTAAATTAAATGATCAGTCCAAGTCATTAAAAAATAGAGTGGTGATAAAAAGAAAAAAAAGTGAATTTGGAGAATAAATTTTTGAATTATCGGGTTCACATCCTTAAGATATTATTCAAATTTACCTTGAATAGGAAATTTTAACTATGTTTACTTTTAGACTGGCATACAAGTTATCTTTTATTCATCTCCTAAAGAAGGTAAGATTAAAAGGTAAATAGTGGATACAGAGCTGATTCTCAAAATCCTTTGAAAAGGCGATTCAATACCAATTCTCGTAGCATAGCTGTTATCTGAACTTATAACATTTTCCTGATGAAGTCAAGTTTCATCCACAGCATTAAGAACAAATCCAAAGTGCCCTGAGAAATGAAACTCAGAATAAAGTCATATACCTTGGAAGGAGGTTGAGAATATAAGTTTAGTGATTTGTACTACAGTATTGAGGCTGAAACTTTGTCCAGCCTAGATTCTTAAACCAACTATACTTGTTAAATAGTCATCACTGGTACTACCTTAATGCCATCGGATTCCATATATTTGCTAAGTCCCAGTTCATCCAGCGCAACAGTGTCAGGGGCTCCACCATTCCCAACGATAGGATTGGCCATGATGAGAATCTGTCCCTTGTAAGCAGGGTCAGTAAGAGCTTCCGGGTACCTGGATAAAGATGCCAAAAAATTACCCACAAAAAATGTATGTAACTGTTTTCTACACACACGATCTTAATTACTGAAACCTTGAAAATTAGAGAACATGAGAATAAAATCCTATAAGCCTGTCTCCAGATTTTGCCAAACCTAGGGAAGTTTTATGATAGAATATGGAAATTTATGCCATGATATGATTGATATGAAAAGAAAAATGGATGTACATGTATAACTGAATCAATTTGCTATACACTTGAAACTTAACATTTTAAATCAACTACATGTCAGTAAAAAATTTTTAAAATTGAAAAATAAACAAAAAAAGAAAAATGGACTCAAGTACTAAAGCATATTCTCATTTAATTTTCATTTCTTCATTTTCTTAAATTATTTAATTCTTTAAAAATTTCTTCATAGGATCTTAGTTTTTTAAATATTGCTCTATTTAAAGCTTGCAGATACCCTGAAGATTCTCCTAGCCTACCAGATATGAATGAATCCAAATTGACATTTACTATTGAGGACTGACATTTCACCAAAATATTAACTATCAAAAACTGAAAAGCTTTTTTTTAATGTCCCTTATGATAGTGAAGAACATCCTGATTATGTCAGTGGTGGGTACATGGGTCTATATATATTTATTAAAATTCACTGAACATTTAAAATAGTTAATTGCTATGAAAGAAATACTAAATAGAGTTGATTTTTTTAATATTTTAATGATAGAAAGGGGTATATGTTTGGAGGTTAATATCAATGAAATCAATGAATGAAATCAATCCCACAAAAATTGACCTGAAGCATTTCTGACGTCTAAATTAAAAGATTCCAAATAACTGTTAAAGTACTGATGTGGAATTAGGAAGAAATGCAAGAAGGTTTTATTTTAATGTTTGGGGAGGTAAAAATAAGAATACATGTGTGCTTATTTTCGTTCTATATATAAATAAAACTATACATAGAATTCCTATTCTTAATAATAAGAAATGTTATCCTCATAAATCCTTGGGTCTATCTATTGCTATTCTATGCACTGGAATACACTGCAATGAGATTTTTTTCACCCTCTTGCATTTTCACTCTCCACAGGGGAAGTTAAACCAAATCTTTCTTGTGGATTACTACTGACGGTGAATTTAGGTGCTGAGGGGGACAGAATGACAACCGTGAAACCAATAAAGTTCAGCTCAGGCCACAGTCAACATAAACTCTTCAACCCCCAACCAGACCAGCCCCTCCCAGAGCTCCCTTTGTCAACAGAACACTTGGTCTTCCAGCTCAGCAGCCTTTAAGGTGACTGGAGCGCTGTGCTATTTATCCACCCATCCGTCAGCTAATTTCTCAGGTGCCTCTCACCTGTCAGCAACTAATAATTTTTTAACCAAGGCTTACATGCAACATAAATGCATTTCTTGAAGACGAAAAACAAAATAACCCCCTTAATTATTAACCACCTTACTGAGTGAGCCACTCAATAAATAAAAGCAGCATTTCTCAGTGGAAAATAAGATCTGTGGACTAATCTTCTTAATGTATGCCTTTTTCTACATCAAAAAAAAATCATTAACTAATTTAATTTTACTTCCCTTTCTTCTTTCTCTTCATAAAATAACTGGCTGTTTCCTTTAAACATACGCTTACAATATACTCTCCAGTAAATGAATAAATACAGCTTGTCCTAGAGAACTGTAGTGTTGGAAGAAAATTAATCCATCAGGTCCTGTTTGACTTTTGTGATGTGACAAGATTTATTACCCGCAATCTATCACAGAGAAGAAAACCCCAGTGCTCTCCATCATCCTGATCTATATTAAACAGTCGTTTGTTGGCAGGTATATTAACACAGCTAGTAATTAGTGCTGTCGAAAAGCTTAAATAATTGCCTGGTGAAGCAAAACTTTGCAAACGGGTTTCATACACTGTAATTTAATGTTCTTAGCAGTGGAACTGTTTTAAAAAACCATCTAATATTCTTCACTTCAAACAGAGAGCTAAGAGTTTAGAGGAGAATGCACATTAATAGTATAATGGAAGTTTGGTCAATCAATATCTTTCAGTGTCAGTTAACCCAAAGCCTTCCTGTCTATATAAGGCTAACTGAATTTCCCTTAACAATTCATCAAACATTTTATAGTTTATTGAATCTTTAATGGAAACTGTTGATATAATTTTTTAACCCCTAGCTTTAAATTACTTTCTAATCCAATCCCCTCACTTTTTTATATGTAGTAACTAAGATTCAGAAAGGTTAAATGATTTTCTCAATATCACATAATCAGTTACCACTGGAACTGAGACCAAAACTTCAGCCTCCTGGTTCCCAGATGAGCATTTGTTGGCCAGATAAGAACAGCCTCCTGATTTCTGTAGCAACTCTTAGCTTTGTGGCTGTATACCTACTAGCAAATCTTAAATACCAAATTCAGTCTCAGTTGATTAATTTTGAAAATATCAGACCTATGCACGTCCTCTTCCGTTGATTACTTTAAGACAATAAATGTATCTGTTGTTTCACCTTTCTTATTAGAGTGTGAAATTAGATAAAATACCTAAGGACCTTCTTAGCTCCCTCTAGTAGCTCATATTAGACGTGCAAAGTTGACTCTTAACGTTACTAACGGAATGGCACCAGAGCGTACTACCTATCCTTTTCCTGGTTCTCACCTTGATCAGATCCACACCCCTTGCTGTGCAGAAGCTATTTGGAAATCTCACATAACTTGCGCCCTAAGTTTCTATAGTCAATTTTGTTCCTTTTTTTAAATCAGGGGAACACCAGTGTCCATATTCTCTTTCCTTCACAGCAGCAGAGAAGAGTTTGTGTCTATGCCTCTTTTCAGGGGTGGAGGGAGCAGGCTATGTACAAGCACGAGGCAACTTCAGGACAATGTGTGGTGTCATTATGATGATGCAGTGACTTCAATTTCCCACCGTGAGTAAGATCATCCCATTATTCCCCTATACAGAGGAAGAATAAAACCTTGGAATAGAAGCATTACTCACCCTGCCAGGCCAGTGTTAAAAACCACTTCACCAGCAACAGAGGATGGATGGCCGAAGGAGTAACCTTTCATCTTCGTTCCATCTTCCAGGACAATGTGTGCTGTCTGTGCCTAAAGAAACAGATTCATGAATTTTAGCAGAATACAAAATATGAAACACAACTACTAGAAAAAAATCCAAAAGTATAATACACCAATGTACTAAATAAATGCATATTTGATGAAACCATACTGGATTTGGAGTCGCTCTCCTGTTACTTATCACTTTTCTTCAAATGTATGGCTCTTGTCACTGGCAGGTGTTTTATTGTGTTTTGCTTGAAAGAGGAACTGAAGCATGTCAATACATTGTCTCCTGGTAGAGTTATTGACAATCTGGAAATGTTTCCATTTAGCAGAAATGCTATGTGCCTGTCTTTTCTCTCTTAAAATTCCTTACCTTTGCTCACATATAGCTTTAAGGGAAATTCATGAGTTTGCAAAAACATTGTGAATTGTACCATACAGCTCATCATTACTCTGAGGCTTAGAGCTAGAAGGAATCTTCAAGGTTATCTATCAAATGGCAATCCGCAGAGCTCTTGTGTGTGATAGAGTTGTCTCAGGGGCTGCCCCCTCCCCAAGCCTTCTGATCATAAAGAAATGGAAACTTTATCACTCTATTAATACTGATGCAAAAGCAAGGACTATGGAACATCTGAAAATATATCACATTTCTGCTTTTTAGTAGAGTTAATTATATTCATGTCTGGTTCTCTCTTCAGATTACAAGGCATTCTGAATTTGACTATTTTACTATATGAATCTTCGAACTAGCTTCTATAAAATTTTTGGTTAAGAAAATATTCCAAATTCTTCAAAAAATACTCTAAATTCTATTATTGAAAGAATTTAGGTCTAATTCTCAATTTCCATAAAGTTCAGAGGAGAGAGGAAGGTGATAAACCACACTTTGGGGAACAAAATCTGGACTCTGTGAAAAACCCTATGACAAAATAATTGGGTCACAGTTTTAAACAAACTATAAAGAAAACATCTCTGCAATAATTGAGGAAATTTGAATAATGAATTGATATTTTATTATATTTAGTGTAATATTTTTTAAGATTGATGATGACATTATAGTTATATCTTTTTAAGAATTCTCATTTTTTAAAGAGTTACACTGAAATACTTAAGCATAGAATAATATGATATCTGAGAGCTCTTTCAAAATGAGGTTGGGGGAATGAATAGGGATACAGATGAAACAAATTTGGCTGCACTGAAATTACTGAAGTAAGAAAGATCATTGCACTGTTCTCTCTGCAAAGGTTAAGTGCAGCCATTAAAGACAGAAACATACTAATTCTCTACTTTCCTTTCCTTACATTTTTAGCTCTGGACTCATAATGTCTAATCCTTTGGTATTCTGCCATCCACCTCCAGTCTTACCACACACACACACACACCAACCTTGGTATACAGCAGGAACACAATACATGATTTGTAGATCTCTGTTTCTATGTTTCTCTAGCTTTATAAAATGAACTCATCTTTTTAAGTGTTAAAATGGTAAAGCCTCATTATTTTTCTACAGTAATCGTCTCTGTAGAAATAGGTCCCTCTTTAAGTTTCAAAGTACACAAGTCCCTTGACATTGGAATGATTGCTCTTCAATGTAGTGTTTGATTATCTTTAAATCAATATGCCATGTGCCTATATATTGTTTATGTGTAGTGTGCATACATATTAACTTTTATTTACACACAAAACTATCTGAGTATTTTCTATTAAAATTGATGTTTACAGTATTCCGCTCAATATCAAGTTTATTTTTTGATTGGAGCTGCAATGCATAGATTTCAATGTATATTTCTGAGAAAGTGCTGTCCTGCACATGTTATGTGTGTTTGTGTGTATGAGTGTGTATGTGAGTGTCCATGGACAGTGTTAGCCAAAAGAATGATGTCCTTCACCTGCTTTTCAAATGATCTTTGAGGTAGTTTTATTTTATCTACAGTTTTGAAACCAGTGTTCAAGATCTCAAGCTTCACACTTTACCTTTAAACAGTCATGGTTTATCTTCTCAGCCACCAAACTAAAAAAGCTTTTGGAATTACTCAGCACAGAGGAAACCACAATAAATAATTAATGTAAACGAGTGATGACAAGATTTCCCTGACAAGAGATTGGCTTAACACACAAGTTCTGAATTCTGCTTATGTATCAGGAAATCACGTTTGCATGTCACTTCTAATAATCCAATATTTTTATTTTATATTTTAATTTGTCAACCAGTCTTTATTTATAATTCAAGACAGAGGTTGATGATTTTAGGAAGTGAGAGTGATTATGTTCAGTGTGTTTCCAAAGATTGTTATAAGCTAATCAAACGTCTATGGTGATGGTTCTTAGTAGGGATGTGTTTCCTGAGAAAATTCCTAGGTATCTCTGACACGTTTCACTAGGTGAAAACCTTTGGTCCAAGTAATAGAAATTCACTGTCAGAAAAATATTTTCTACTAAAAGTATTATTTTCTGTTCTTGGGGAAGTCATGTGTAACCCACATGATTTCACAAATGGAGGGAAGGCAGGAAACATTTTCTTAAATAATATTTAACTTTGATAGAACCTAAAATAACTGTACTTAGTTGGCAAAACTTGGCATGTGGATGACAAATTTCAATTGTCTTCTACGTAACAATTTATCTACCCTACTCTGAGCCATCCCTGTCTAATAGATCACCTCTGTTTATATTTTTCCTTTTGCTTTTCTCTATCCTCTTCTCATCTAAGAATTTCAAATTGTCTGATCTATGGGCTAGATGCCATCTAATTATTTTAAAGAAAGGTAAAAATTAGCATAATCAATCTGACTTTCGTTAGCGTATTCCTACAATTCTATCTGGTATTTTTCTTCCTGTCTCTTTGGGACTAGTTTTCTACTTTGCTTTCCATCTTTTAAAGATATATTTGAGGAGACGTTTACTGTTGCCCGAAATAGTCCCTGAGATTGTGTTCAATATGTCTTTTTGCTCCTTTAATTATATTTTTTGTTCCTTTTGGCAGCTTTTATGGATCTTCCAATCCTCTTTTCCACTACACATTATATTGTTACAAGGCTTCTGTTTATTGCCTGTAGTACCCTTTATATTCCACTTAACTACACTGGCCTCCAATGAGTTTAAAATGGTAAGTGCCAATTGACTTATCTATGAATTGATGGAGAGACTGAACAAAGAGCTATTATTTGGAATTCCCCCTTCTAGCTAACAGGTCCCCAAATGCTATTTCATTCCAACGAGTCCAAAAGAAATCACCTTGCTACCATCATAAGATATTTTATTAGCTTCAGTCGTAGTAGAAAGAGATCCGTAGTCTAGGAATTAGACTGTAACATTGTTATAATTTTAGTGCCTACTACCAGAGCACTTTGGTAGTTCGAATGCTGATAGTGCAAAGGAAATCTTAATGAAGAGAAGTCTGTACACTCATAGAATGTCAGGGAAAGTAACCAAAGGCTATATGAGTTCTACAAAATAAATGAACTCTATCATGACGTGGTCCCTAAGTGTTTAATAAAAATGTATATGCCAATGGGACAGTTTAGACCTTCAGGTCACACCATCATTTAGCTCCCACTATGTGCGAAGTACTCTGCTAGGCTCCAGAGATACATCGATAAATGTCCCCAGTCCCCACCAACCCCCGCCATATAGTAAAAGGACCAGATATGTGCATGGATGATAAAATAAAGGAAAGTTCAAGAAGAGTATCTCTTAAACACCTGAAGATGCAAAGATACATAAAACATCTTTTCCTTTCAGAGGTTTCTCTTTCATAAAATAATTCACCTTTTCCTTCCCCTTCATGCTCTAAGTAATAAAAATTAAAATTTTAAAAAGGAAATTTGTCAAATTTTGAATTTAAACTCTAAAGTTGAACAATTCCTTCAAGTCTTTACTCTAATGTCATCCATCTTCTTGGCAAGACCTATTTAGAATTACAACATGCCCCCAGCACCCTGTCTCCTTAGTCTACTCTTCTTCACAGCTCTCCTTGTCTTCTAACACATCATCCAGTGTCGTGTAAAACAGCTGCCTTATCCCACTAGGAAGTGAACTTCACATGGGCGGAGTGCTGGGTCTGCTTTGTTCACTGACGTGCCTGCCTCCAGGGCATCAGTGCCTAGTACAGAGTAGACAATCGATTAATTTTTGTTGGATGAATAAAGCATCATTAAGTGACAATCTAAAGAAAATACCATTTAAAAAATACTAAAAAGTGTAATTATATAGTTAGTTTTAATTTTCTTCTAGTTATAAATTTTTAGAGAC